AGTGGGTGGCTAGGTGGGTAGGTGAGTGAGTGGGTGGCTAGGTGAGTGAGAGGGTTGGTAGCTAGGTGGGTAGGTGAGCGAGTGGGTGGGTAGCTAGGTGGGTAGGTGAGTGGGTGGCTACGTGGGTAGGTGAGTGGGTTGGTAGCTAGGTGGGTAGGTGAGTGGATTGGTAGCTAGGTGAGTAGATTGGTAGCTAGGTGGGTAGGTGAGTGAGTGGGTGGGTAGCTAGGTGGGTAGGTGAGTGAGTGGGTCATAGAGTGGGTGAGTGGATGGCGAGGTAGCTAAGTGTGAGTGGCTAGGTGGGTGAGTGGGTGAGTGGGTGGGTGAGTAGGTGAGTGGGTGGGTGGGTAGCTAGGTGGATAGGTGAATGAGTGGGTTGGTCGCTAGGTGGGTAGGTGAGTGGGTTGGTAGCTGGGTGAGTGGGTTGGTAGCTAGGTGAGTGAGTGGGTGGCTAGGTGGGTAGGTGAGTGGGTTGTTAGCTAGGTGGGTAGGTGAGTGAGTGGGTGGCTAGGTGGGTAGGTGAGTGAGTGGGTTGGTGGCTAGGTGGGTAGGTGAGTGAGTCTGTTTGTAGCTAGGTGGATGGGTGAGTGAGTGGGTTGGTGGCTAGGTGAGTGAGTGGGTCGTAGAGTGGGTGAGTGGACGGCGAGGTAGGTGAGTGGATGCGTGGGTGGGTGAGTAGGTGAGTGGGTTGGTAGCTAGGTGGGTAGGGGAGTGAGTGGGTGGCTAGGTGGGTAGGTGAGTGAGTGGGTTGGTAGCTAGGTGGGTAGGTGAGTGAGTGGGCTGGTAGCTAGGTAGGTTGGTGAGTGGGTTGGTAGCTAGGTTGGGAGGTGAGTGAGTGGGTTGGTAGCTAGGTGGGTGAGTGGGTTGGTAGCTAGGTGGGTGGGTGGGTTGGTAGCTAGGTGGGTGGGTGAGTGGGTTGGTAGCTAGGTGGATGGGTGAGTGGGTTGGTAGCTAGGTGGGTGGGTGAGTGAGTGGGTTGGTAGCTAGGTGGTAGGTGAGTGAGTGGGTTGGTAGCTAGGTGGGTGGGTGAGTGAGTGGGTTGGTAGCTAGGTGGGTGGGTGAGTGGGTTGGTGGCTAGGTGGGTAGGTGAGTGAGTGGTTCGTAGAGTGGGTGAGTGGACGGCGAGGTAGGTGAGTGGATGCGTGGGTGGGTGAGTAGGTGAATGAGTGGGTTGGTAGCTAGGTGGGTAGGGGAGTGAGTGGGTGGGTGGCTACGTGGGTAGGTGAGTGAGTGGATTGGTAGCTAGGTGGGTAGGTGAGTGAGTGGGTTGGTAGCTAGGTGGGTGAGTGAGTGGGTTGGTAGCTAGGTGGGTAGGTGAGTGAGTGGGTTGGTAGCTAGGTGGTAGGTGAGTGAGTGGGTTGGTAGCTAGGTGGGTGGGTGAGTGGGTTGGTGGCTAGGTGGGTAGGTGAGTGGTTCGTAGAGTGGGTGAGTGGACGGCGAGGTAGGTGAGTGGATGCGTGGGTGGGTGAGGAGGTGAATGAGTGGGTTGGTAGCTAGGTGGGTAGGGGAGTGAGTGGGTGGCTAGGTGGTAGGTGAGTGAGTGGGTTGGTAGCTAGGTGGGTGGGTGAGTGAGTGGGTTGGTAGCTAGGTGGGTGGGTGAGTGAGTGGGTTGGTGGCTAGGTGGGTAGGTGAGTGAGTGGGTCGTAGAGTGGGTGAGTGGATGGCGAGGTAGGTGAGTGGATGAGTGGGTGGGTGAGTAGGTGAGTGGGTTGGTAGCTAGGTGGGTAGGGTAGTAGGTGAGTGGCTAGGTGAGTGGGTGGGTGGGTGAGTAGGTGAGTAGGTGAGTGAGTAGGTGAGTGTGTAGGTGAGTGAGTAGGTGAGTGGGTGGGTGATCTGCCTGGCAGGTCCTACACTCACCATCCACAACGTGCAACCACATCACGTGGACCATGTTCTGACAGCAGTAGTTCTTTAATTTAAATTACTTTCAAAAACAATACACAGTCCCCCGTGTCTCTCTCTCTCCGTGTCTCTCTCTCTCCGTGTCTCTCTCTCCCACTCCGTGTCTCTCTCTCCCACTCCGTGTCTCTCTCTCCCACTCCGTGTCTCTCTCCCCGTGTCTCTCTCTACCACTCCGTGTCTCTCTCCCACTCCGTGTCTCTCTCTCCCACTTCGTGTCTCTCTCTCCGTGTCTCTCTACCACTCCGTGTCTCTCTCTCCCACTCCGTGTCTCTCTCTCCGTGTCTCTCTCTCCGTGTCTCTCTCTACCACTCCGTGTCTCTCTCTCCCACTCCGTGTCTCTCTCTCCGTGTCTCTCTCTCCGTGTCTCTCTCTACCACTCCGTGTCTCTCTCTCCCACTCCGTGTCTCTCTCTCCCACTCCGTGTCTCTCTCTCCCACTCCGTGTCTCTCTCTCCGTGTCTCTCTCTCCGTGTCTCTCTCTACCACTCCGTGTCTCTCTCTCTGTGTCTCTCTCTGTCTCTCTCTCCCACTCCGTGTCTCTCTCTCCGTGTCTCTCTCTCCGTGTCTCTCTCTACCACTCCGTGTCTCTCTCTCCGTGTCTCTCTCTCCCACTCCGTGTCTCTCTCTCCGTGTCTCTCTCTCCCAATCCGTGTCTCTCTCTACCACTCCGTGTCTCTCTCCGTGTCCCACTCCGTGTCTCTCTCTCCGTGTCTCTCTCTACCACTCCGTGACTCTCTCCGTGTCCCACTCCGTGTCTCTCTCTCCGTGTCTCTCTCTACCACTCCGTGTCTCTCTCTCCCACTCCGTGTCTCTCTCTCCCACTCCGTGTCTCTCTCTCTCCGTGTCTCTCTCTCCGTGTCTCTCTACCACTCCGTGTCTCTCTCTCCCACTCCGTGTCTCTCTCTCCCACTCCGTGTCTCTCTCTCCGTGTCTCTCTCTCCGTGTCTCTCTCTACCACTCCGTGTCTCTCTCTACCACTCCGTGTCTCTCTCTCCCACTCCGTGTCTCTCTCTCCCACTCCGTGTCTCTCTCTCCGTGTCTCTCTCTCCGTGTCTCTCTCTACCACTCCGTGTCTCTCTCTCTGTGTCTCTCTCTCTCTCTCTCTCCCACTCCGTGTCTCTCTCTCCGTGTCTCTCTCTCCGTGTCTCTCTCTACCACTCCGTGTCTCTCTCTCCGTGTCTCTCTCTCCCACTCCGTGTCTCTCTCTCCGTGTCTCTCTCTCCCAATCCGTGTCTCTCTCTACCACTCCGTGTCTCTCTCCGTGTCCCACTCCGTGTCTCTCTCTCCGTGTCTCTCTCTACCACTCCGTGTCTCTCTCCGTGTCCCACTCCGTGTCTCTCTCTCCGTGTCTCTCTCTACCACTCCGTGTCTCTCTCTACCACTCCGTGTCTCTCTCTCCCACTCCGTGTCTCTCTCTCCCACTCCGTGTCTCTCTCTCTCCGTGTCTCTCTCTCCGTGTCTCTCTCTACCACTCCGTGTCTCTCTCTCCCACTCCGTGTCTCTCTCTCCCACTCCGTGTCTCTCTCTCCGTGTCTCTCTCTCCGTGTCTCTCTCTACCACTCCGTGTCTCTCTCTCCCACTCCGTGTCTCTCTCTCCGTGTCTCTCTCCCACTCCGTGTCTCTCTCTCCCACTCCGTGTCTCTCTCCGTGTCCCACTCCGTGTCTCTCTCTCCGTGTCTCTCTCTGCCACTCCGTGTCTCTCTCTGCCACTCCGTGTCTCTCTCTGCCACTCCGTGTCTCTCTCCCACTCCGTGTCTCTCTCTCACACTCCGTGTCTCTCTCTCCCACTCCGTCTCTCTCTCCCACCTCGTGTCTCTCTCTCCGTGTCTCTCTCTCCCACTCCGTGTCTCTCTCTCCGTGTCTCTCTCCCACTCCGTGTCTCTCTCTCACACTCCGTGTCTCTCTCTCCCACTCCGTGTCTCTCTCCCACTCCATGTCTCTCCCCGTGTCTCTCTCTCCCCGTGTCTCTCTCTCCCCGTGTCTCTCTCTCCCCGTGTCTCTCTGCCCGTGTCTCTGTCCCCGTGTCTCTCTCTCTCCCCGTGTCTCTCTCTCCCGTGTCTCTCTATCTCCGTGTCTCTCTATTTCCGTGTCTCTGTCCCCGTGTCTCTCTCTCCCCGTGTCTCTGTCTCTCTCTCCGTGTCTCTCTCCGTGTCTCTGTCCCCGTGTCTCTCTCTCCCCGTCTCTCTCTCCCCGTGTCTCTGTCTCTCTCCCCGTGTCTCTGTCTCTCTCCCTGTGTCTCTGTCTCTCTCCCCGTCTCTCTCTCCCCGTCTCTCTCTCCCCGTCTCTCCCCGTGTCTCTCTCCCCGTGTCTCTCTCCCCGTGTCTCTCCGTCTCTCCCCGTGTCTCTCTCCCCGTGTCTCTCTCCCCGTCTTTCCCCGTGTCTCTCTATTTCCGTGTCTCTCTCCCCGTGTCTCTCTCCCCGTGTCTCTCTCCCCGTGTCTCTCTCTCCCCGTGTCTCTCTCTCCGCGTGTCTCTCTCCCCGTGTCTCTCTGCCCGTGTCTCTGTCCCCGTGTCTCTCTCTCTCCCCGTGTCTCTCTCTCCCGTGTCTCTCTATCTCCGTGTCTCTCTATTTCCGTGTCTCTCTCCCCGTGTCTCTGTCCCCGTGTCTCTCTCTCCCCGTGTCTCTGTCTCTCTCTCCGTGTCTCTCTCCGTGTCTCTGTCCCCGTGTCTCTCTCTCCCCGTCTCTCTCTCCCCGTGTCTCTGTCTCTCTCCCCGTGTCTCTGTCTCTCTCCCTGTGTCTCTGTCTCTCTCCCCGTCTCTCTCTCCCCGTCTCTCTCTCCCCGTCTCTCCCCGTGTCTCTCTCCCCGTGTCTCTCTCCCCGTGTCTCTCTCCCCGTGTCTCTCCGTCTCTCCCCGTGTCTCTCTCCCCGTGTCTCTCTCCCCGTCTTTCCCCGTGTCACTCTCCCCGTGTCTCTCTCCCCGTGTCTCTCTCCCCGTGTCTCTCTCCCCGTGTCTCTCTCCCCGTGTCTCTCTCCCCGTGTCTCTATCCCCGTGTCTCTCTCTCCCCGTGTCTCTCTCCCCGTGTCTCTCTCCCCGTGTCTCTCTCCCCGTGTCTCTCTCCCCGTGTCTCTCTCTCCCCGTGTCTCTCTCCCCGTGTCTCTATCCCCGTGTCTCTCTCTCCCCGTGTCTCTCTCCCCGTGTCTCTCTCCCCGTGTCTCTCTCCCCGTGTCTCTCTCCCCGTGTCTCTCTACTCCAGCTCTGCGAGGATCTCCGCCAGTATCTCCGCTCTTTCCGCGACACTCCACCTGCTGCTGCTGCTGCCGCTGTCATTCCGCCGTTCCTGCTGCTTCTGTTCCTGCTGCCGCCGTTCCTGCTGCTTCTGTTCCTGTTCCTGCTGCCGCTGTTCCTGTTCCTGCTGCTGCTGTTCCTGCTGTTCCTGTTCCTGCTGTCGCCGTTCCTGCTGCTGCTGCCGCTGTTCCTGCTGCCGCTGTTCCTGCTGTCGCTGTTCCTGCCGCTGTTCCTGTTCCTGCTGCCGCTGTTCCTGCTGTTCCTGTTCCTGCTGCTGTTCCTGTTCCTGCTGCCGCTGTTCCTGCTGTTCCTGTTCCTGCTGCTGCTGTTCCTGTTCCTGCTGCCGCTGTTCCTGCTGCTGCTGCCGCTGTTCCTGCTGTCGCTGTTCCTGTTCCTGCTGTCGCTGTTCCTGTTCCTGATGCTGTTCCTGCTGTTCCTGTTCCTGCTGCTGCTGCTGTTCCTGCTGCCGCTGTTCCTGCTGTCGCTGTTCCTGTTCCTGCTGTTCCTGCTGCTGCTGCTGCCGCTGTTCCTTGCCAGAGGAGCAGCAACGCTGCAGTAGAGCCACGTACAGACGGCGATAGCGCGCCACGAGCACAGCCTGCGTCTCATCCAGAGACAGCCTGGGACAGCAACGCACGCACACAGAGAGACGCAGAGAGACGCAGACACACACAGAGACACAGAGAGACACAGAGACACACAGAGAGACACACAGAGAGACACAGAGAGACACAGACACACAGAGAGATGCAGACACACACAGAGACATGGAGACACAGAGACACAGACACACACAGAGACACAGACATACACAGAGAGACACAGACACACACAGAGAAACACAGACACACAGAGAGAGACACAGAGAGACACAGACACACACAGAGACACAGACACACACAGAGACACAGACACACACAGAGAGACACAGACACACAGAGAGACACACAGAGACACAGACACACACAGAGACACAGACACACACAGAGAGACACAGACACACACAGAGAGACACAGACACACACAGAGAGGGACAAGACACAGACACACACAGAGAGACACAGACACACAGAGAGAGACACAGACACACACAGAGAGACGCAGAAACACACAGAGAGACACAGACACACACAGAGACACACAGACACACACAGAGACACAGACACACACAGAGAGACACAGACACACAGAGAGACACACAGAGACACAGACACACACAGAGACACAGACACACACAGAGAGACACAGACACACACAGAGAGACACAGACACACACAGAGAGGGACAAGACACAGACACACACAGAGAGACACAGACACACAGAGAGAGACACAGACACACACAGAGAGACGCAGAAACACACAGAGAGACACAGACACACACAGAGACACACAGACACACACAGAGACACAGACACACACAGAGAGACGCAGAAACACACAGAGAGACACAGACACACACAGAGAGACACAGACACACACAGAGAGACACAGACACACAGAGACACAGACACACACAGAGAGACACAGACACACAGAGACACACAGACACACACACAGAGACACAGACACACAGAGAGACGCAGAGACACACAGAGAGATACAGACACAGTGTATAGTAGTGTAGTGTATAGTGTAGTGTATAGTAGTGTAAAGTGTAGTGTATAGTAGTGTAGTGTATAGTAGTGTAGTGTATAGTAGTGTAGTGTATAGTAGTGTAGTGTATAGTGTAGTGTATTGTAGTGTAGTGTATAGTAGTGTAGTGTATAGTAGTGTATAGTGTAGTGTATAGTAGTGTAGTGTATAGTAGCGTAGTGTATAGTGTTGTGTATAGTAGTGTATAGTGTAGTGTATAGTAGTGTAGTGTATAGTAGTGTAGTGTATAGTGTAGTGTATAGTAGTGTATAGTGTAGTGTATAGTAGTGTATAGTGTAGTGTATAGTAGTGTAGTGTATAGTAGTGTAGTGTATAGTAGTGTATAGTGTAGTGTATAGTAGTGTAGTGTATAGTAGTGTATAGTGTAGTGTATAGTGTAGTGTATAGTGTAGTGTATAGTGTATAGAGCACCTACGAAGGCCGAAACGGTACACGAGGGGGTGGGTGGCCAGCACCACGCCCGACCGCCTTTGTCTCCCTAGTGGCAATGTTTACACACCGCACTAGGTACTCATTTGAGGCTGAGTCGACCTAGGGGAGGTCCGGGACCGGTTAAGATAATCGTCACTGGTGTTGCCCGTGAGCGGGAATCGAACCCGGGTCGCCAGGTTCATAGCGCAGCGTAGCGCTAACCGGTACACTATCACTCCCCAAACATACACACAGACACACATACACAGTCACACACACATACATACACACACAGACACATACACAGTCACACACACACTCACACTCTCACACACACACTCACACTCTCACACACACACTCACACTCTCACACTCACACTCTCACACACACTCTCACACACACACTCTCACACACACACTCACACACTCACACACACACTCACTCTCACACACACTCTCACACTCACCCTCACACTCTCACACTCTCACACACACTCTCACACTCACACACACACTCACACTCTCACACTCTCACACACCAACAACAAGAACCGCCATTCGCCACTAAGTAGCGGTGACGTCACCACGACGCTTGTGCCAGGCTATGTGCACCCTGAGGCCACGTGAAGTGTCGAACGCCCGCTGGCAGGAGGTCACGGGGCAGACCCAGGTGCCACGGGTCGACTGACTGAGATGACTGGCTGATGCACCACCTGTGCCCCCTACTGTGCCAACCTGCTGTGCTTTAGCCACCCGGCGCTCCGCTCGCTGTTGTGAGCGTCGCTCCTCCGCCCTCCGTTGTTGTTGGAGGGCGACTGCCTCCAACTGCCCAGTAGCATCCTTCACGAGCCTCCTCCACAGAGGCCGATCTTGACACCGCTGGTACCAGTCATCGGCAAGTCCACTCAGCTCCACGTCCTCCTGTACCACATCACTCCATCTCTTCTCTAGCCCGTGCCGCGCCCGCTTAGCCCCCTCAATCCGGCCAAACAAAAGCTGTTTCGGCATGCGGTGGCTGGGCATGCGGGCTACATGACCCAGCCATCGCAGTCTTGCCTGCCGGAGGAGCTCACCGATGGGACCCTGCCCAGATCTTTCAAGGATTTGTGAGCTCCTCACACAATCCAGTCTGGTTAAACCCAGGATGGATCGTAGGCAGGCCAGCCTAAATGTTTCTAACCGGCGAAGATGTTCCATTAGGTGGGTCGACGTTTCGCAAGCGTAGAGAAGGGAGGGAATGACCGTGGCCGAGAAGACGTGAAGCTTAGTGCGGAGCGACAGACCAGGTAGCTTCCACACAGCGTTACGCAACCGATGAAAAGATATTGCCGCTCGACTGATTCGGAGTGAGACCTCTGCTGTTAAACTGGAGCCAGTCATAAGCACACTGCCCAGGTATGGGAAACGCTCCACTCTCTCCACAACTGCCCCATCACCGATTGGGAGTTGTGGGGGTGGAGTGTCCGATGGTACAAAATACCCAGGCAGGTGCTTAGTTTTGGTGGGGCTGATGGTAAGGCCCCACCTCTTAGTGGCACGCTCCAGTCTCAGCAGCAGCGTCTCCAACTCCTCCTCTGACTGAGCAGCTATTACTAAATCATCGGCATACATAACGTGGTTAAGCAATAGGAAGCCATCCCTTGACCGCACCCGGGCATCGATCACCCTCCCATAATATCTGTACCAAATGGAGAATCCCCCGGTACAGCTATTGAAGGCTTCACGAACTACGTGGTCAAAATAGATGTTAAATAATGTGGGAGCCAGAGGACATCCCTGTCGCACCCCAAGGTGTACAGGGAATGGCTCTGACTCCCGGCCACGTAGTTTTACCCGGGCCCGCTCACCATCATGAAGGTCCTTAATGATCGTGAGCAGAGGGTCAGGTACTCCAAAAGCACGAAGAACGACCCAGAGCCCAGGCCTACTGATGGTATCATAGGCCTTGACCAGGTCAATAAAGCAGAGATGTAGGTCTTGTTGGAATTCCCTACACCTCTGCTGTAGCAAACGGACAGAAAATATGGCATCTGTGCAGGACCGCCCTTTCCTGAAACCGCATTGGGGCTCCGCAAGCCTCTCCTCAGCGTGCCTGGCAAGGCGATGCTGAATAATCCTTGCCAGGACCTTTCCCGGCACACTGAGGAGTGAGATGCCCCTGTAGTTGTTACAGTCTGTGCGGTCCCCCTTCTTAAAAAGGGGGACCACCAGGGCATCCTTCCAATCCTGCGGAACCCGTCCAGTGGTCCAGACTGTTGTTATGATGTCATATAGAGCAGTCTGTGCACAAACGCCACCCTCCCTCAGCATTTCGCTTGGGAGATCATCTCTGCCCGCTGCCTTTCCTGGTCTCAGACTCCGGATTGCCTTCAGTACTTCCTCAACAGATGGCACCTCAGCCAGCCACTCACAGAGGGTGACTTCCAATATTTGAGGCACCGCAGCCTCAGCAGGGTCATCCTCACTTTGTGCCACGATGTTTTCCTGGCTGAGGGATTTTCCCTCCCCCAGGACCTCACAGAAATGCTCAGCAAATCTGCGAACCTGTTCCTGGGGGTCGGAAATTGGATCACCGTTTTTTTCCCCTAATGATGGTAATAGGTGTGGCGCTGCAGGTTACTTTTTTGATGGAGTTAAATAGAGATTTGTGATCACGGGCCACTGAGGCAGACTCCATCTCCTCAGCAACCCGCGACCACCACCCATCCTTGCAGCGCCTCACGGCTCTCCGAACCTCCGAGCGAAGGCTGCGGTAAGCCTCCTCATTCTCTGACGTGGGATTCTGTAGCCGATGACAGTGGGCCTGTCGCTTTTTCTCAACCATCCTGAACAACTCCTCTGTCATCCAGGGTGTCTGGAGAGGTCTGGACCACGTACCCAAAGCAGCCATTGCAGCTGCATGAGTCACAGTCCTAAACCTCGCCCATTTACCCTCGACATCAGGAGGAGTCGGGGACGATGCCAATCCCAGCCGCAAGCGATGATGAAATTCTCGCTTGCAACTTTCATCAGATAACTGAGACCAGGCCACTTTAGGTTGGAATGGGGTCCTGGGTGTACACCCACCACCGGAGTGGAAGAATGGCAGGCGCATCTTACAGATGACTAGTCGATGGTCAGAGGGCAGATCAGCTCCACGGTAGGTCCTGGTGTCAAGGACATGGGCTCGCATTCGCTGGTCCGTCACTATGTAGTCCAGCAGATGTTCTTGCTTGGACCCGGCATGCATCCATGATGTTGTGTGGATGCGCCGATGCCGGAACAGCGTGTTGGTAATTACAAGCCCATGGGCTGCACAAAAATCTAGCAGCCTCCTACCGTTGTTATTGAGCTGATCTGGCCCATGCCCTCCAATCACTCCAGACCAGGTGCCAGTATCATGACCAACTCGGGCATTGAAGTCACCCAACATGATGACTCTATCCCGAGGGGCCACTTTAGCCAGCACCTGTGACAGGAGGTCATAGAAGGCATCTGACTCATCGGCTTTGCCTGCATCCCTCCACAGATGTTCATCTTCGGTGGGGGCATAAGTAACCACGACCACCATTCCTCGCCTCCGGTTGATGGGAAGGCGAGCCCAAAGTAGCCTGGGGCTTACAGCTTCCCACACCTCACCGCCACGCTCCCACGCCCCCTTCATTCTTTTGTTCAAAAGAAGACCCACACCCTGTTGTTTGGCAGTCTGCTGCCCCGAGTAGAGGACTGTCCACCCCTCATGGTGGCAGGAGCCAGAGCCGGTCCACCGGACCTCCTGAATGCCGCATAGATCCAGGCGGTACCGGTCCAGCTCCCGACAGAGGAGTGGCAGCCTCTCCTCTGCAGTGAGCGTTCGAACATTCCACGTGGCCACCCGTAGTGGCTTTTCGTTGTTTCTGGAGTAGCCCCGAGGATAGGTATTCAATCTCCTGGCTCCGCCAATTGGGGTTTGGCCAGGAGACGTCATAGACGCCTGGCCCCCCGAGGCCTCCGGCACAAGCTTAGTTGTTACATATTTCAGTTTAATTCGTGGTTTCGTGGTAATTAATTGAAGGTGGAGGGGTTACCAGCCCCTCGCACCCGTCCAGAGCCCCCGTTTAGCCCCTGTGGTGGACACATATGCCATGAGGGGAGGAGCCAATCAAAAATTGGATCTCCCCCCACAGCGCTGTCCACGACAAGAGTTGCCCGTCCGGCACCGCGATGAGGTAGGGGGTTGTTTTGACAGACTCACACACACACACACACTCTCACACACACACTCACACCCACACACTCTCACACTCACACACACCCTCACACTCTCACACACTCACACTCTCACACACACTAACACACACTCACACACTCACACTCTCACACACACTAACACACACTCACACACACACTCACACTCTCACACACACACCCTCACACTCTCACTCTCACACTCTCACACTCTCACACACAAACTCTCACACCCTCACACCCTCACACTCTCACACACACACTCACACCCTCACACTCTCACACACACACTCTCACACCCTCACACCTTCACACTCTCACACACACACTCTCACACTCACACACACTCTCACACTCACACACACCCTCACACTCTCACACTCTCACACACACACTCACTCTCACACTCACACACACCCTCACACTCTCACACACACACTCTCACACCCTCACACTCTCACACTCTCACACTCTCACATGCGTGCGTACCCGTGCACCTGGCCTGGCACAGGCGCCACGGCGACGTCACCGCCGCTCAACGGCGAATGGCGGCTACTGCTGCTGCTGCTGTTGCTGCTGCTGTTGTTGTTGCTGCGGTTGCTGCGGTTGCTGCTCGCTCTCCGCCGAGAACCGTGGTGACCGCCACCACCACCACCGCCACCACCACCGCCACCGCCACCACCGCCACCACCGCCACCGCCACCACCACCACCACCGCCACCACTCAGCAGCTTGAGCAGCTGTAGGAGCAGCTGTGCCAGACGTGACTCAAGCATCAACACCAGCCGCTCCGCCTCCTCCACCTCCTCCTTCACCTCCTCCTTCACCTCCTCCTTCACCTCCACCACCTCCTCCTTCACCTCCTCCACTACCTCCACCACCTTAACCTCCTCCACCGTCACCTCCTCCACCACCTTCTCCACCTCCTCCACCTCCACCTTCACCTCCTCCACCGCTACCTCATTCTCCTGATTGTCCACAAGACGAGCACCAGTCCAGCCACTCCTCCTGGTGGTGCTGGGGTTGGTGGAGGTCGTGGTGAGATGGGTGGTGGCCTTGGTAGTGGTGTTGGTGGTGAGGTTGGTGATGTCGGTAGCGGAGTTGGTAGTGGTGGGGTTGGTGGTGGTGGTGGTGATGTTGTCGGTGGTGGTGGTGGTGGTGGCGATAGCGTGCAGGGCGTCCTTGGTCTCCGCGAGGAGATGGAGTGCAGAAGTCAGAATCTGGATCCGTGAAGAAGAGGCACTCATCCCTGCACAAAACAACATCATCAAAATATCATCATCATCAAAACAACATCATCAAAACATCATCATCATCAAAACATCATCATCATCAAAACATCATCATCATCAAAACATCATCATCATCAAAACATCATCATCATCAAAACATCATCATCATCAAAACATCATCATCATCAAAACATCATCATCATCAAAACATCATCATCATCAAAACATCATCATCAAAACAACATCATCATCAAAACATCATCATCATCAAAACAAACATCATCATCATCAAAACAACATCATCATCAAAACAACATCATCATCAAAACATCATCATCATCAAAACATCATCATCATCAAAACATCATCATCATCAAAACATCATCATCAAAACAACATCATCATCAAAACATCATCATCATCAAAACATCATCATCAAAACATCATCATCAACACCACCCCCTGCCTCCCCCCACCCTCCCCCCTCCCTCCCCCCACCCTCCCCACCCCTCCCCCCACCCTCCCCCCACCCTCTCCCCCTACCCTCCCCCCACCCGTCCCCCCACCCTCCCCCCACCTCTCCCCCCACCCCCCACCCTCCCCCCACCCTCTCCCCCCACTCTCCCCCCCACCCCCCCACCCCCCCCCCACCCCCCCCACCCCCCCCACCCTCCCCCCACCCCCCCCACACCCCCCCACCCTCCCCACCCACCCCCCCCCACCCTCCCCACCCCCCCCACCCCCCCACCCCCCCCACCCTCCCCCCACCCCCCACCCCCCCACCCCCCCACCCTCCCCACCCTCCCCCCACCCTCCCACACCCTCCCCCCACCCTCTCCCCACCCAACCCACCTTCGGCCACCACCTCCAACAGCGCCACCCTCTCCAGCTGCACGCGAACCAGCGCCAGCGGCGCCTCCCCCAAGCGGCCGAGCGTGGCGCTGGCGCTGGAGTAGTGGCGCTCAGCCAACAGCCGCTGGCGCCGCCGCTCCGGCAGCGTCCACACACTCCTGCGGCGGGCGGCAGAGCGGAGCTTTACAGCCCTTCAGATTCCCCCTGGGGGAGCTTTGTCTGTGCCTCTCAGCAGCACTTGCCCCTGCAGCCCTGCTAGAGGCTACCTGGGGAGAGCTTTGTCTGTGCCTCTCAGCACTTGCCCCTGCAGGCCTGCTAGAGGCTACCTGGGGGAGCTTTACAGCCCTGCTGAGGCTCCCCTGGGGGAGCTTTGTCTGTGCCTCTCAGCACTTGCCCCTACAGGTGTAGAGGCTACCTGGGGGAGCTTTACAGCCCTTCAGATTCCCCCTGGGGGAGCGTTGTCTGTGCCTCTCAGCACTTGCCCCTGCAGCCCTGCTAGAGGCTACCTGGGGGAGCTTTGTCTGTGTCTCAGCACTTGCCCCTACAGCCATGGCTAGAGGCTACCTGGGGGAGCTTTACAGCCCTTCAGATTCCCCCTGGGGGAGCGTTGTCTGTGTCTCAGCACTTGCCCCTGCAGCCCTGCTAGAGGCTACCTGGGGGAGCTTTGTCTGTGCCTCTCAGCACTTGCCCCTGCAGGTGTAGAGGCTACCTTGGGGAGCTTTACAGCCCTTCAGATTCCCCCTGGGGGAGCGTTGTCTGTGCCTCAGCAGCACTTGCCCCCTGCAGCCATGCTAGAGGCTACCTGGGGGAGCTTTACAGCCCTGCTGGAGGCTACCTGGGGGAGCTTTGTCTGTGTCTCAGCACTTCCCCTGCAGCCCTGCTAGAGGCTACCTGGGGGAGCTTTAAACAGCCCGTCAGATTCCCCCTGGGGGAGCGTTGTCTGTGCCTCTCAGCACCTTGCCCCTACAGCCCTGCTAGAGTCTGTGCCTCTCAGCAGCACTTGCCCCTGCAGGTGTAGAGGCTTACCTGGGAGAGCTTTGTCTGTGCCTCGCAGCACTTGCCCCTGCAGGCCTGCTAGAGGCTACCTGGGGGAGCTTACAGCCCTGCTGGAGGCTACCTGGGGGAGCTTTGTCTGTGCCTCTCAGCACTTGCCCCTGCAGGTGTAGAGGCTACCTGGGGGAGCTTTACAGCCCTTCAGATTCCCCCTGGGGGAGCGTTGTCTGTGCCTCGCAGCACTTGCCCCTACAGCCATGCTAGAGGCTACCTGGGGGAGCTTTACAGCCCTTCAGATTCCCCCTGGGGGAGCGTTGTCTGTGCCTCGCAGCACTTGCCCCTGCAGCCCTGTTGGAGGCTACCTGGGGGAGCTTTGTCTGTGTCTCAGCACTTGCCCCTGCAGCCCTGCTAGAGGCTATCTGGGGGAGCTTTGTCTGTGTCTCAGCACTTGCCCCTGCAGCCATGCTAGAGGCTACCTGGGGGAGCTTTACAGCCCTTCAGATTCCCCCTGGGGGAGCGTTGTCTGTGCCTCGCAGCACTTGCCCCTGCAGGTGTAGAGGCTACCTGGGGGAGCTTTGTCTGTGCCTCTCAGCACTTGCCCCTACAGCCCTGCTAGAGGCTACCTGGGGGAGCTTTGTCTGTGTCTCAACACTTGCCCCTACAGCCCTGCTAGAGGCTACCTGGGGGAGCTTTACAGACCTTCAGATTCCCCCTGGGGGAGCGTTGTCTGTGCCTCTCAGCACTTGCCCCTGCAGGCCTGCTAGAGGCTACCTGGGGGAGCTTTACCAGCCCTGCTGGAGGCTACCTGGGGAGCGTTGTCTGTGCCTCTCAGCACTTGCCCCTGCAGGTGTAGAGGCTACCTGGGGGAGCTTTACAGCCCTTCAGATTCCCCCTGGGGGAGCGTTGTCTGTGTCTCTCAGCACTTGCCCCTGCAGGTGTAGAGGCTACCTGGGGGAGCTTTACAGGCCCTTCAGATTCCCCCTGGGGGAGCGTTGTCTGTGCCTCGCAGCACTTGCCCCTGCAGCCCTGCTAGAGGCTACCTGGGGGAGCTTTACAGCCCTTCAGATTCCCCCTGGGGGAGCGTTGTCTGTGCCTCGCAGCACTTGCCCCTGCAGCCCTGCTAGAGGCTACCTGGGGGAGCTTTACAGCCCTTCAGATTCCCCCTGGGGGAGCGTTGTCTGTGCCTCTCAGCACTTGCCCCTACAGGTGTAGAGGCTACCTGGGGGAGCTTTGTCTGTGTCTCAGCACTTGCCCCTACAGCCATGCTAGAGGCTACCTGGGGGAGCTTTGTCTGTGTCTCAGCACTTGCCCTGCAGCCCTGCTAGAGGCTACCTGGGGGAGCTTTACAGCCCTTCAGATTCCCCCTGGGGGAGCTTTGTCTGTGTCTCAGCACTTGCCCCTACAAGCCATGCTAGAGGCTACCTGGGGTAGCTTTACAGCCCTGCTGGAGGCTACCTGGGGGAGCTTTGTCTGTGTCTCAGCACTTGCCCCTACAGCCATGCTAGAGGCTACCTGGGGGAGCTTTACAGCCCTGCTGGAGGCTACCTGGGGGAGCTTTGTCTGTGTCTCAGCACTTGCCCCTACAGCCCTGCTGGAGGCTACCTGGGGGAGCTTTGTCTGTGTCTAAGCACTTGCCCCTACAGCCCTGCTAGAGGCTACCTGGAGGAGCTTTGTCTGTGTCTCAGCACTTGCCCCTGCAGCCATGCTAGAGGCTACCTGGGGGAGCTTTACAGCCCTTCAGATTCCCCCTGGGGGAGCGTTGTCTGTGCCTCTCAGGACTGGCCCCTGCAGCCCTGCTAGAGGCTACCTGGGGGAGCTTTGTCTGTGCCTCTCAGCACTTGCCCCTGCAGCCATGCTAGAGGCTACCTGGGGGAGCTTTACAGCCCTTCAGATTCCCCCTGGGGGAGCGTTGTCTGTGCCTCTCAGGACTGGCCCCTGCAGCCCTGCTAGAGGCTACCTGGGGGAGCTTTGTCTGTGTCTAAGCACTTTGCCCCTACAGCCCTGCCAGAGGCTACCTGGGGGAGCTTTGTGTCTGTGTCTCAGCACTTGCCCCCTGAGCACTTGCCCCTGCAGCCCTGCTAGAGGCTACCTGGGGGAGCTTTGTCTGTGTCTCAGCACTTGCCCCTACAGCCCTGCTGGAGGCTACCTGGGGGAGCTTTGTCTGTGCCTCTATATTTCTGGCTGAGCGGACCTGATTGCGGAACGCGTGGTGTGCCAGCGAGGCGAGGCGGGTGGTGAATGGTGGCACAGCGGCGAGCACACTCCAGGCTCAGCTGTGGCTCTGACTCGGCCCCGCAGCTCTGGGTCAGCTTCAGGGCCAGGGTGAGCCTCTCTCTCACGGCTCTCTCCACCTACAAGGGGAGATAGTTAGAGATAGTTAGAGAGTTAGAGAGAGAGTTAGAGAGAGAGTTAGAGAGACAGATAGAGAGAGAGTTAGAGAGAGAGATAGTAGAGAGAGAGTTAGAGAGAGAGTTAGAGAGAGAGTGAGAGAGATAGAGTAGAGTAGAGAGAGAGAGAGATAGAGAGAGTTAGAGAGAGAAAGAGATAGAGAGTTAGAGAGTTAGAGAGAGATTTAGAGAGAGAGTTAGAGAGTTAGAGAGAGAGAGAGTTAGAGAGAGAGAGTTATAGAGTTAGAGAGAGTTAGAGAGTTAGTTAGAGAGAGAGTTAGAGAGAGATTTAGAGAGAGAGTTAGAGAGTTAGAGAGAGAGTTAGAGAGAGAGAGTTATAGAGTTAGAGAGAGTTAGAGAGATAGTTAGAGAGAGAGACAGGGTGAGCCTCTCTCTCACGGCTCTCTCCACCTACATGGGGATGTAGAGGTGTTAACTACGCGCTGTTGCGTAACCTGCGTTGCCACCAGGGCAGTGCAGCATTACCCCTGGGTACAACGGTTGGGGTCAGTCGAGGTGAAACGGATCGTGGCCAGGGGTTGGTGCGAACCAATCAGACGGTTCCACGTGGGAATGTATGATTGGTTCCACCTGGCCACGAATGGGTATAAGACGGGTGACCCAACGGACCTCGGGGAGTTCTCTCCCTGCACGAAGACAGAAGACTGGGCTGGAGCCTAGCTAGGACCCTGGACCAGCCTTTCAGCCCTTCTAAGGGCTAAGGCTCGGCATACCCAGTGGTCAGGACCCACCGGGCCAGCGGTGGGTCAGATAGCCTCCCCTAGGTCCTAGCCGGAGGACTAGGATAGCGGTAGACGTGTGAGTCCCGCCAAGTCCGGAGGCTGTGTACCTCCTTAGGTATCAAGGAGGTTAGCGGTAGACGTGTGAGTCCCACCAAGTCCGGAGGCTGTACCTCCCTAGGGTATCGGGTGAGGGGACCGAATATCCCTCTGTGTGTGTTAAGCGTTGTATAAGGAAATAATACAATACACAGAGTGTGCCTCCTAAAGAAGTCTGCTCGTCAAAATTTTGATTTAAAGCTTTCGTGACTGCAGTAATTCATATTCTTAGTTTTTTCGGTAAAGTCACGTTGAAGAGAAACAACAAAATAACAAAATATATATATATTTTGTTATTTTGTTGTGACTTTACCGAAAAAACTAAGAATAAGTCTGCTCGTCCTTACAACACTACAGGGAGATAGAGAGAGATAGAGATAGATAGAGATAGAGAGAACCCCCACTACTCTATAGAGTACCCCCACTATTCTATAGAGTACCCCACTACTCTATAGAGTACCCCACTACTCTATAGAGTACCCCACTACTCTATAGAGTACCCCACTACTCTATAGAGTACCCCACTACTCTATAGAGTACCCCACTACTCTATAGAGTACCCCACTACTCTAGAGTACCCCACTACTCTAGAGTACCCCCCCACTACTGTAGAGTACCCCCCCACTACTGTAGAGTACCCCCCCCACTACTGTAGAGTGTTCACCTGTTGGGTGGCGAGGCGACTCAATGGGGGGTGGTCCTGCAAGAGGCTGGCCGAGGTGGTGAGCGTCCCACTCAGTTCCCAGCGCACAGAGCCACTCACCACGTGGTGAGGGCTCACCACGTGGTGAGGGCTCACCACGTGGTGAGGGCTCACCACTCCGGCCTCGCCGGCCTGCTCCTCGCCGGCCACAAAGAGGTCGCCTAGAACGCGTCCGGCACGCCGGTACAGCTCCACAGCCTGCAGGGGGGGGTGGTGAGTGTGTGGTGAGTGTGTGGTGAGTGTGTGGTGAGTGTGTGGTGAGTGTGTGGTGAGTGTGTGGTGAGTGTGTGGTGAGTGTGGTGAGTGTGGTGAGTGTGTGTGGTGAGTGTGGTGAGTGGTGAGTGTGTGTGGTGAGTGTGGTGAGTGTGTGTGGTGAGTGTGGTGAGTGTGTGTGGTGAGTGTGGTGAGTGTGTGTGTGGTGAGTGTGTGGTGAGTGTGTGGTGAGTGTGTGGTGAGTGTGGTGTGGTGTGTGTGGTGAGTGTGTGTGGTGAGTGTGGTGAGTGTGGTGTGGTGTGTTGTGGTGAGTGTGGTGTGTGGTGAGTGTGTGTGTGGTGAGTGTGGTGTGTGGTGAGTGTGGGTGTGTGGTGTGGTGAGTGTGTGTGTGGTGAGTGTGTGTGGTGAGTGTGGTGAGTGTGTGTGGTGAGTGTGGTGAGTGTGGTGAGTGTGGTGTGGTGTATGTGTGTGTGGTGCGTGTGGTGAGTGTGGTGTGTGTGGTGTGGTGAGTGTGTGGTGAGTGTGTGGTGAGTGTGGTGTGTGTGGTGAGTGTGTGTGGTGTGTGTGTGGTGAGTGTGTGGTGAGTGTGGTGGGTGTGGTGTGGTGTGTGTGGTGAGTGTGTGTGGTGAGTGAGTGTGGTGAGTGTGTGTGGTGT